TATTGTATGCTGTTCCAGTTCGACTGCTAGGAGTGTAAACCTATTCGTATGGTTTTTCCTATTCGGCTGTTTACAGCATTCATATGGTTTCCTGTTCGGCGGATTGGTGTTCTGCAGTAGCTATGCCTGCATCTCTGGAAAGGGGGACGATCGCCTAAACGGTTTTAAACCCTTGTGTGCTGAAACGGTCCATTACAATTGGTGGCAGCGGCAGGATCGTTCCCACAGACAACAGGACAGCTACAGGCGACACCATTCCGTGGATTTACAATTTGAGGGCAACGCATGTCTGAGTACAGCGACCCTGACAGCAACAGCATGGAACCAGCAGTGTCATACGAGGAGGAGGACCTGGATGGCCGGGATGCATTAAGGAAAGGCATCTGGTACCAGGCCCTGGATAATGTACAATACCAGCAGGGGGCGAGAGTCTCCCCAGTGAAGAGCAGCGGTTGCAGAAGCAAGTGGCCCTGCGGATGCCCTTGCTGGGAGAGCAGCCCCTGGATGAATGGGTGAAGGAATTGGAGCACCGGGTATGGCAGGAGATTTGGCTGGAAGATGCCTACCAGGCGCTCTGGTGGTATGGGGCACAGTACCTGCCCTGGACAGTCGAGCATGGCAAGCCAGAGGGAGAGGAGTTTGATGGTCCTGGCTTGTTATAGGAGGCTTTTTCAGAGCCTGAATTTGGGAGCCCTACACAAGCCCGGTTCAGTGATCTCTTGGAGTGGAGGGAGAGCAGGTATGACTGGGACGACACTCCGGACATTGAGCAAGACCTGGTCCACCTAGCAACCCTGGAGTGGGAACTGGAGCTACCGAGATCTCTTCCACTCCATTGACAAAGCTCAGCAGGACAGCAAGGTGACAGATCCAGTTCCAGACCCATTCAGCTGGGAAGACATCGTTGAGTTTTACTGGGAAGAACCCCAAGTGGCGGGTGGAGATGGGACCGAGGTCTCTCCACCGATATTGCAGGGAATTGGGAGCCCGAGCTCCATTCCCCAGCGGGAGATATTGCAGGGAATTGGGAGCCTGAGCTCCATTCCCCAGCGGCAGGCTGAGTTACAGGGGGCAGAGTCCTGTCTACCAGCGGCAGTGTACCTTGCAGGGAGAGGAGAGCAGCGTCCTCCCTCCCCAGCGGCAGGGTGAGCTACAGGGATGCTGGGCAGTCGGCTCAGATCCCCAGCGGCAGTGTGAATTACAGGGAATTGGGAGCCCGGTCTCCATTCCCCAGCGGCAGGCTGAGTTACAGGGGGAAGAGACAGTTGGTCCTGTTCCACAGCGGCAGTGTACCTTGCAGGGAGAGGAGAGCAGCGTCCTCCCTCCCCAGCAGCAGGGTGAGCTACAGGGATGCTGGGCAGTCGGCTCAGATCCCAAGCGGCAGTGTGAATTACAGGGAATTGGGAGCCCGGTCTCCATTCCCCAGCGGCAGGCTGAGTTATTGGGAATTGGGAGCCCAGTCTCCATTCCCCAGCGGGAGATACAGCAGGGAATTGGGAGCCCAGTCTCCATTCCCCTGCGGCAGAATGATTTATTGGGAATTGGGAGCCCAGTCTCCATTCCCCAGCGGCAGAATGATTTATTGGGAATTGGGAGCCCAGTCTCCATTCTCCAGCAGCAGGACTCTGTATTGGGAGCAGAGACAGTCGGTCTCCCTCCCCCACGGATGGAAGTATATGTGGGCGAGGAGCTTGTTACCCCCTCTCCCCAGCAGCAGCTTAATGTACCCAGGGGAGACAGTATTTTATTTTATTTAGTTTGTAAAATGCTTCAAAAATTAAACAGAATAACAAAATAAATAACAAAATAACAATAATAAACAATCAACTGAAATAATACCCAATTCAAACATAATACCAAATGAAACATAAATACCGAAATAAAAACTCAGGAAGGGGCACTAATAGGGGAGTAAACTTATACCAAATTAAATAACTGGGAATAACAGGGAGAGGGATTAACAGAAAAGGGGGGGGAACTAAATCATAAGGGGATAAATTAAAAGGCGGGGGGCTCCATTACTTCATGGAGCCTTGGGGAGGGAGAAAAAAGGCTGAAATGCTCCTGAAGGAGCTCTTACATAACAAGGGGGGACAAGGGGGGACCCAATTGACCTCGAGTCCACAGCCAGCTAAACACAAACATAAACCAAGCGTGAAATAAAATACACACATAAACATAAACAAACCCATTACCCACATGGAGTCCTTTTCTCAGTTCATAAAACCCACCAACCACATGGAGTCCATCCCTCCGTCCATCAACACCAACCCACCACCTACACTTTAAACCCAAACTTTAAACCCAAACCCACCACCCAAATGGAGTCCATTTTCAATTCATAAAACCCACCACCCTCATGGAGTCTATCCCTCCGTCCATCCCCCAAACCCACCACCCAAATAGAGTCCTTTTCTCAGTTCATCACATCCAAACCCACCACCCACATGAAATCAAAATGTTGTCCATAGACCCACCACCCACATGAAATCCTGTTTGTATACCACCCTCAAGGAGTCCATCCCTCCGTCCATAAAGAAACCCAGTGTTTGTTTGTTTTTTCCCCCACCCAAAGTAAATTTTTCAATTTGTCCATACACCAGAAACCCACCCTAACCCAAACAATACCAAAAATAACCTGTGCATAACCATAACCTAACTACACTGCACTACCTAGACGCAGAGGAAGGTACTCGTCTGCTAAAGGTGGCAGCCTTCCATGAAAAGAAAAACCAGTTCAAAATCTACGGGGGAAAGGTGAAGACAGATTTGGAATTCCCTTCACCAAGACAAGGGCGCCTATGGAGCGGTTCAAGGCGGGTGGACCTTGAGATTTCGCCACAAACGCTGCCAAATGGTGGGATCCATAGAGGCCCTTTCGGTGGTATAGATCCCACGAACCGCCCTCAGAATGTCTGCTACCACCACCTGACAGGAAAGGTCTTTATGTTGAAGGGAAACCTGACACCTTGCCATCCAAGTGAAATACTTAACCACTGAACTGACTACATAAAGAGTGCCCAAATCAAAAGCCCTCCCCTTGAGTTGGACGTCCCGTACGCCCACTCCGCATAAGTCCAGCGGGATAAGCAGGGGATGCCTAAGGCGGCTGAGACCTCTTTGTAGACCTGTACGTTAAAGGGGCACTCGAGGAGGAAGTGGTCCATGGACTCCACTTCCCCGGAACATTCCACCCGAGGACAACCACGATCCGTTATGTTCCTGTACTTCAAGTTCCCTCGAACGTAAAGTCTACCGTGGAAGGAGAGAAACGCCACGTCTCGGTATTTCTCCGGAAGGCGCCTGGAGTTGATGTTTTTCAACCCCGAGGCGAGAGTACTTGGCGGGCAGTCCTTCAAAGCAAGCTGAATGCCAAAGTGGGTGGCCAGGACCCTCCCGTCGAGAAGCTTCTTGGGAGTGTCCCGAACCTCCTCCACCGTGACGTTCCACCTGCGCAGAATTCCCACTCCCTCGATGACCGAAGACGGAAGATAGCTAGAATGCCGAACTCTCATGCTCTTCACCCTCCTACCCTGAAACCAGTCCACCAGGAAAGGTGTGACCCACTCCCTGAATATACATACCCAGCCAGGCTGCTCGTCCTTCAGGAGAGCCCCGAAATTCCTTTTCAGGAAGGTGTTAGTAAAGAAGACGATGGGGTTGACCATGGCCAGACCCCCGTCCTTTCTGGCCAGGTAAGTGACCTCTCTTTTGATGAGGTTCAGCCTGTTCCCCCACAACATGCGGAAGAACAGCGCAAACATCCGATCGTGGAGGTACCTGGGCAAAAGGAAGATGTTACTGACGTAGCCGAATACGGTCAGAACATAGGTTTTGATTAGGTTCACCCGTTCTCTGAACGTCAGTTTCCACCTGTGGCTCTCCTCCACCTTGCTAGAAGCTATGGCAAGCCGTTCGGTCCAGTTCCTGAGAGCCAGATCCCCTGGTCCGAACACCACCCCAAGATCTTAATTTCAGGCTGGGCCCTCGGGAAACCGTCTGGAAGAGGGAACTGGTCCCCCTCCTTCCCGCACCAGAAAACTACGCTCTTGTCCCTGTTGACACGAGAGGCTGAAGCGGCAGAATACGCTAGGATTAAATCATCCACCTCCGTGGCCTCCCGAGTATTGGAGACCACTATGGAGATGTCATCAGCGTAGGCAACAACCCGTAAAGGCCTCTCCGGAGCCCTGGCCACTCCCTGTAACGTGCCTGCCTCGACCCTTCGGATGAAGGGATCGACTGCAAACACGTACAAGAGTGGGCTGAGAGGACAGCCTTGCCTGACCCCGGATCGGATCCTAAACGTCCTGCCCCTCCACCCGTTCACAAGAGCAAAGCTTTCGGCCCCTCTGTACAAGGTGATTATCCAATTGACGAATTTTCCCGGCAAGCCATACTTCCGCAAGACTGACCACAGATAACGGTGATCTACTCGATCAAAAGCTTTGGACTGATCAAGTGCCAGAAGGTATATCCCCCTTTCTCCGTCCCTGCACTTCTCGAGGGCTTCCCTGACTTCGAAAACGGCATCAAAGACAGTTCTGCCCTCGATTGAACAGTACTGGGAGGTGGATAGGACACGCCTCGCTAGGCCCTGTACTCGTTTCATCAAAATCTTTGCCAGGACCTTCCTGTCGACATTTAACAGGGATATGGGGCGCCAGTTCCCCACATCCGCTGTGTCGAGCACGTTCGGCTTGGACAGCAAGATCAGGGCAGAAGTCCTCATCGAGGGTGGCAATAATCCTTGAGCCAAGCTCTCATTAAACACCTCGGTCAGATGAGGGGCCAAGAGGTCGCAGAACTGTTGGTAAAACTCGGCCGTCAGACCATCAGGACCTGGCGACTTACACTTGTTCTGCTGTTGGATACTCTCTGTGACCTCTTCTATGGTGATCTCGCTGACCAACTCGTCAAAAGAGAGGTCGCTATGCTCAGGGAGCGTGAGCTCGCTCAAGAAGTCATCCACCCTTCTCCCGTGGGAGGTTCCCTCCTCGCTACATTGGGGGGCTGCCCTTTCCGAGGAGCTCAATATAGTAGTCGCGGACCACCTTCAGAATCCCGCGAGGAGACTCCTCTAGGGTCCCGTCGGTGCCCCGCAGACTAGGGATGGACTTGGTACCTTCCTTCCGCTTGCAGCTAAGATAAGGATCGGGCGAGCGGTATGACCCATGATCCCTCTCTTTTACAAGGGAGGCGTACCTGTCATACTGATAACTCCTCATCAGGTTTTTTACTGCCGCAATGTCCTCGGGGTCACCTCCCTGCGAGATCAGGATGTCTAACTTCCCAAGCAAGCCCAGATACATCTTGTACCTGGAGGACTGCATGTTCCGGGCGAGATTGCGAAACAGCCGTTGAGTTCTGGCCTTCACCATCTCCCACCACTCAGACTTCGTTTGGCCTAAGTCGGCCAATGTCATCTGATCGTTAAAGAATTCCATGAAGGCTTGCTGAACCCTCTGTTCCACCAGGAGGTCTGAATTTAGCCGCCAGATCCCTCTACCCTTAGGTGGGGTACTATAGACATTCAACTCGCAAGACAAAATGTGATGGTCGGAGAACTCCACCGGTGTAAGCACGGGTGCCGCCACCGGGAAATTCTCCTTAAAGAAAAACCTATCTATCCTACTCTGACAGCTACCTCTGTGATAAGTGTACCCACCCGTGGGATTGGGAGTGTGATGAAGGTACACATCGACCAATCCAGCCTGACTAACCATCTTATTTTAAAAATAGGAGTCATACCCCAGCCTCTGAGTGGCGTCTCTCCTGTCTTGAGGCCTAGTTATGGTGTTAAAGTCACCGCCAAACAGGATTTGCTGGGATGTATAAAGGTAAGGCTCTATCTCAATAAACAGGCGCTTCCTCTCCCACTTAGATTGGGGGCCATAGATATTAATTATCCTGAAAGGTTGCCTGCCCATTGAGACATCTAAAACCACACTCCGTCCTTTTTGCAACTCAATAACCCTGTTGATGCTAACATCAACGACCTTAAATAGGATGGCGATTCCCCCATATCTCTCTGTGGCTAGAGAGAAGTAGGAGGGCCCCCATCTCCAGTCCCGCTTTGCAGCATGCAGGGCCGCGAGGGTTTCCAGCCGGGTCTCCTGTACCAAGATGACATTGTACGGAGCCCGGCTGAGGTGGTCGTAAACCAAAAAGTGGGCCCTGCTGGACTTAATGCTGTTTACATTCACCGTAGCCACAGAGAGTACAGGAAAAGTCGCCATAAGGGCATTAAGTATAAGGAGACTTTCCCTTCCTTCTGCGGTACCCCTCCTCCGTGTCGGAACCGAGGAACCTCTTCACTGAGACTCCGGGATACAGTGGCCCATCGTCTCTCAGAAGCACCTCCTGTCCCACCTCAACCCCTGCCACCACCTCGGGGAGGTTCGCCATCTCCTCCTCGTACTCACAGTCGGCCCAGCTGGAGGACAGTGCCTCGTACCTGTTAGATACTGGCACCGGGGCCTCCTGCAAGCCCGAAGAGGAGGATGACGCCCGTGCCACACCACCCTTATAAGTGGCGTCTCCCCCTTTCGGGGGTTTCGCCGCAGGGGGTATGGCGATCTTCCGGGGTGAGGGCAGCGTCGAGGTCTTGGAGGGGGGGGGGTTTCTTACCTTTCACCGTGCTCCACTCTAGGGACTGTGCATCTAAGGTACGTGCATCTGGGGACTTTTCAGTGGGGGTAACCTTCACCGTGGAGAATTTAGGAGGGGGGGGCTAGGGGGAGGGGGTCTAGGGGGAGCCATAATGGCTGTGGAGGTAGTGCGTTCTCTACGTACACTTTTCGTGAGGGGACGTGAACTTGTGGCCTTCCCAGGGTCCTGAGATGTTACAGAGACCGAGGGGAGGATGGGTTGTTGCTGGGGCAGGGAAACCCTTGTGCCAGAGATGGGCATTGTAGATGACGATGCTACCTGAACCCCTAACCCAGCAGAGTCCATCTCCACCGGCTCCTGACTCCAGATGGACTCTACATTGTGCTGGGCTTCGGGGCAGGTGCGGTACGTGTGACCCATCTCTGAACACAGATGACACCGGATCTCCCTGCAGCTGTCCCGGAGGTGCCCCACAGCGCCGCACATAGTGCATTTGAGGACCGTACAGTCATTGCTGTAATGCCTGTACGATCCGCACTTGTGACATACCCTGGGCTGACCAGGGTAAAAACAGGATACCCGGTCAGCCCCGATGAAAAAACTATTAGGCATATGCTGTGTGACACCTCGAATCTCCCGCAGCAACACTGAAACAGTCCATCCGCCTGTCCAAATCCCATCCTCATCTAAGATCTTAACAGGGGGGGATTTAACATCCCCAAACAAGGATGTCTGCTATGGGGATGGATTCATTTCTCACCAGGAAAGTGACCTTCTTAAGACCCTGGCGAGAAATGGCCACAGCGGTGAATCCTGCCCACTTTGTACCCTGTGCAGACCTGGCCGCTTCCCACCCAGCCCAGAAGCGATCCAGGAGCTGCGACGTCATAAAGGAGACATCGAACTCCCGGGTGCCCGAGGCATGGATGAGCGCGTACAGGTCCACGGGCGCAAATCCCATATCCTTTAGCCGGGTCACCAGCCACCGTCTGTCAGGCACCTGGATCTCACCCCCACAGATGAGCCGTACCACGTTCCTCCTGTTCCCAAAGGAAACCTGAGGACGCGTAGCAGGCCCGTCCACAGAGAGGCGAGGTGGCCCAGATGCCCAAGCATTGGGCGCACCGGGACCCGCCGTCTGGGAATGATTCGGACGGACTCCCCTCGCTGAACCAGAGGCCTCGGTCACACCAGAACCCTGGGTGACAACCTGGGAGTGCCTAAGGGGAACCTGTGTACCTGCTTGTGCGTCTAAACTATTTATAACCGCGGCACCCTTTGTCAGGGTGCCTGTGCCCGTGCTCGTGCCCGCCACCTGTGTACCAATTAACTCCAGTGAACCAGGGGCAGGGGCAACATAACCTGAGGCGGGGGCAACATAACCAGGGGCAGGGGAAACAGTACCAGGGGCAGGGGCAACAGTACCAGGGGCAGGGGCAACAGTACCGGGGGCGGGGGCAACATAACCAGAGGCAGGGGCAACAACACCAGGGGCAATAGTACCGGGGGCAGGGGCAACAACACCAGGGGCAGGGGCAACAACACCAGGGGCAGGGGCAACATCATTAATACAAACAGGCTGGCTGTGGACCTTTTTACTAAGGCCAATAGGTCCCATCATTACATTTACATCCATACTCCCATCCTCCTCAGCCATCCCTAAACCACCAGTGGAGTCAAACACAATATTAGTCATACTTTTCTTACCTCCACTGGCGGTTTCCTCAGTATGGACTGCTGGCTGAGGATGATGGGAGTCCCCTGCAGTCCTGTCTTCCATAGCGCCCGCGGCACCAGGAACAACAGGAACAACAGGGGGACTGGTTACACATTCAGACATAAGGGGAACACATAGGGAAGCAGGGGGAACAGACTGGAAGACAAACTTGGACACATCCAGGGAAACAGACTGGGGGACAAACAGGGGAGGAGATTTGCTGGTAGGGGAGAGCAGTCGAGCTTGCTCCAAGGGAGCAGAGGGAAAAGGAGGGCCATCACCCTGCTCCAGACTGCTCCATCCAGTGCCATCCTGCCCAGCAGCCGCCTGAGGACAGGAGGCAGAGGTACCAGCCACTCCAGGGGGCGCAACCACACGGAGAGGAAGGTCAGAGGGAAGGCAGGTAAGGGAGGGAGTGGGAAGGGAGCAAGGGAAGGACCCCTCCATGGGATCACCGGTACACGCCATAGTACCGGCGGGGATGGTCTCCCTGTCACCATGGAGGGCGGCGGGGGGCCCAGATACTTCCACAGAGGCAGGTTGTGCAGGTTTCTGGGGCATACAGGTGTTGCCATCTGCAGGGTTAGTATCCCTGGCCCCAGGCTTCTGCAAGGCCTGAACATCATCATTGTACATATACTCAGCATTTGAGCACTCACCCTCCTCTGTGGAATCTCCAGACCCCCTGACAGAGGTCTCAGGCTGACGCCGGGCAATGTTTTTCTTTTTCTTCTTTTTCTTCTTTTTGTCCTTTACAGAGTCCTCCCCAAGTTCGTTTCCAAACCTGAGGAGAGACTCCTTAATCAGCCCTCGACCTCTGTCCTGTACTTTCAGCTGCCACTCTTCACCTTTCTCTCCATCCCACTCCTCTTCACTGTCCTTCTCTCTGGCCTTCCCCTCCGTCTCAGCAGCGCCCCCTGGAGTAGCAAGGGCAGAGGTAGACGGCTCCCCAGGTGAGTGATGGGAGTTGGAATCCAAGTCCTTGCTGGACTCCTCACCTGGGGACATGTCCCTCCTGCCCTCCATAGCCCTCTGCCTCCTGGACCTCGCAGCGTCCTTGGCTCTCTGTTGCAGGATGGCCTGGATGTCTGCCATTTTCTTTTCAGTCTGGAGCAGGGTGTAGGATAGATGCTGCTCCACTAATTTTTTCTCAGCTATAGCGGCCCTCAAAGGACCTCTTTTGTAATTAGAGGTCCTGTTTGATTTTTCCCTCTGCTCCCTTAGCTCTGCCTGGACCCCAGCTAGGCCCGAGTCTGCCTCAGCATGCTGGGCCTTCAGGGACACAAGCATACCCCGGAGCCTGTCAGAAGGTAGCCCCATAAAGACCCTAGCCTCAACCCCCTCACCCTTTGCAGCCTCAGCATAGGTGAGGGAGGCCTGAGGGGCCTTGCTGGCACTAGCCACCTCAGGGGGGGTCTCAGGGACTACCTCCTCCTCGGTACCCTCTCCCACCTCCAGGGACGGGGGGGGGGGCTGTTCTAGGAAGTGGAGGCCACTGCTGGCAAGTTCACGGCACTCAGCCAGCAGCCCAGAGAGCAGCTGGATATCGGCCCTGGTGTGGGCCGTAGCTCCCTGGGTGACCCCCAACTTCCCTTTTCCATGGTGTACGCTTCCTAGACCATCCCCCAGCCAGTTCCTCCAACAGGGAGACCTGGTTTCGTATTTGCCGGGAGAGGGCCTGATGCTCAGTCCAAGACAGGCCCCTGGTATCCGCCTTACCTTCCCCAAAAGCCAGCACTGCCTGCTCGGGGAGGAAGGCCCGAGGGCCATGCTTGCCTAGGCCCATGCAGAGCCCCTTGCTGTAGTAATTCCAAAGCCCAGAAATCGAGCTCCAAAGCAGCCACAAACGGGTGTGGTCCTGGGAACACACAGATGAAGCACAGAGCAGCTCCCTCTCCAGCAGTAACGGCAAACTCCTCCCACTCCAGTGGGAGGGGAAACTGTAAGCCCCACACCTGTGCAGATGGGACCGTGGTCTCTGCACTTACCACACAAGGGGTAGGGACGGTCGGTCCTATCCCCCCACGACAGGGCTGTTTAGCCAAAGGGGAGACAGTCAATCTCCCCCTCCGGCAGCAGAGCCGTGCACCTAAAGGGGAGACAGTCAGTTTCCAGCAACCAGGCTCCAACCAGACTACTCAGTTGGTAGTACTGGCACCAGGACAGAGTACCACTGGTCTCTGCCCACTCAGCAACCCACCAAGGCAGCCTACCAGTTCCCCACACATCCGTGGTGAGGCACCTGGACATGGACAAGCTTCTCCTCTACCCAGGTGTAGTAACCATTTATTGTGGGTGGGCTGTACTGTTTTTTCTGTTTTGTGGGTGGGCTGCTGGACTAACAAGGGCACTGACCGGCAGGAGGTCAGATACCCTGTTAGTCTGTTTGGAAAAGGGGAGAGATGTGACGAGACCAATCTCGCCACATTGCATTGGAGGAGCCTGGTTGCCCACCTGCTGCCTTTGGATTATGGACCGGCAGCTAAAGGGTTCATTTTACTGTGCAGAAGGATTTATTTCTCCCTTTCTGCACAGCCGTTCGGTAGATTCTATCTACCGAACAAACAGTTTCTTTTCAGCCTCCCCAGAGCCTTGGGAAGCCGGCCGGCGACCTTAATTGGCCACCCAGAAGCTGGAGTGCGCCCTCCATTTACCTCCCTGAAGCCGCGGTTAACCGCGGCTTAACGAGCGTGTGCGGCAATTGACCACTGCTTGACCCACAACACGGAGCCTTGTCTCGTCTTTGGGGGGATTTACTGTATGCTGATAGAGACTGATTGCTAGGAGTGTAAGCCGCTTGGATGCTTTTCCTATTCGTCTGGTAGCAGCAATTTGTATGGTTCCTGTTCGTCTGTTTGGACTGCTATATTGGATGCCGTTCGGGAGTTTGGAGCATTCACTTATTGGCGGTTCGTGTGTTTGGTGTTCTGCAATAGCTGTGCCTGCATCTCTTTAAAGGGGGCCGATCGCCTAAACGGTTTTTAACCCTTTTGTGCAAAACGGTCCGTTACAATCTTCATCCACCTTCACTGCTTCCCTTCTCTCTCTACTTAAACACTTGGACATGACTGTAACTCGTTCTTCAGTCCACCTCTTGCCATCCTTTAACTGTTTCTGTATTCTCAATCCTGCCATTCTCTCTTGCTTTGATTCCTCCTATGACCATATTCCTAATTTTATCTCTCTCCAGTTCTGGTCAGTTTCAAGTCATTCCTAATTACCATTTCCATAAATCTAAATTCTGTGTGACAACAAATCAGCAGGGTCTTGATTAATAGATGAAAATCTAGTGTCCCATTTCTCACAGAAAATACCCACATTCCATTTTTCTTTCCCAATGTATGGTTATGCTAACAGTAAAGCACAATCCCGCCGCTGGGTTACACTGACAGAAATCATCCACAGGTCATCACCTTTGTCCAAGTTGTATGGTGATGCTTACAGACGTAATGTACTTCTATAAATTAATCATTTGCATATTTCATTTATTACAGAGATCATTACAAGGATAATTCTGTCATCAAGGAATCCTAGTAACTGTGACAATGAACAAAGACAAGAATAAGGTGGCTGAGAGAATCTCTGAGTTCACCCTGGAGATCATCTACCTGCTGACTGGAGAGGTGAGGAATTCTGGGTAATGTCACCATGGAGGTCATCTACCTGCTGACTGGAGAGGTGAGGGATTCTGGGTAATGTCAGTATGGAGATCACCTACCTCCTGACTGGAGAGGTGAGGGATTCTGGGTAATGTCATTATGGAGATCATCTACCTGCTGACTGGAGAGGTGAGGGATTCTGGGTAATGTCAGAATGGAGATCATCTACCTGCTGACTGGAGAGGTGAGGGATTCTGGGTAATGTCAGTATGGAGATCATCTACCTGCTGACTGGAGAGGTGAGGGATTCTGGGTAATGTCATCATGGAGATCATCTACCTGCTGGCTGGAGAGGTGAGGGATTCTGGGTAATGTCATTATGGAGATCATCTACCTGCTGACTGGAGAGGTGAGGGATTCTGGGTAATGTCATTATGGAGATCATTTACCTGCTGACTGGAGAGGTGAGGGATTCTGGGTAATGCCATTATGGAGATCATCTACCTGCTGACTGGAGAGGTGAGGTATTCTGGGTAATGTCACCATGGAGATAATCTATCTGCTGACTGGAGAGGTGAGGGATTCTGGGTAATGTCAGTATGGAGATCATCTACCTGCTGACTGGAGAGGTGAGGGATTCAGGGTAATGTCAGTATGGAGATCATCTACCTGCTGCCTGGAGAGGTGAGGGATTCTGGGTAATGTCACCATGGAGATCATCTACCTGCTGACTAGAGGTGTAGGGATTCACAAGGTAATGTCATTATGGAGATCATCTACCCTGCTGGAAGGTGAGGGATTCTGGGTATGTCATTATGAGTCATCTGCCTGCTGACTGGAGAGGTGAGATTCTGGGTAATGTCATTATGGAGATCATCTACCTGCTGACTGGAGAGGTGAGGGATTCTGGGTAATGCCATTATGGAGATCATCTACCTGCTGACTGGAGAGGTGAGGGATTCTGGGTAATGTCACCATGGAGATCATCTACCTGCTGACTGGAGAGGTGAGGGATTCTGGGTAATGTCAGTATGGAGATCATCTACCTGCTGACTGGAGAGGTGAGGGATTCTGGGTAATGTCAGTATGGAGATCATCTACCTGCTGACTGGAGAGGTGAGGGATTCTGGGTAATGTCATTATGGAGATCATCTACCTGCTGACTGGAGAGGTGAGGGATTCTGGGTAATGTCAGTATGGAGATCATCTACCTGCTGACTGGAGAGGTGAGGGATTCTGGGTAATGTCACCATGGAGATCATCTACCTGCTGACTGGAGATGTGAGGGATTCTGGGAAATGTCACCATGGAGATCATCTACCTGCTGACTGGAGAGGTGAGGGATTCTGGGTAATGTCATTATGGAGATCATTTACCTGCTGAGTGTAGAGGTGAGGGATTCTGGGTAATGTCATTATGGAGATCATCTACCTGCTGACTGGAGTGGTGAGGGATTCTGGGTAATGTCAGTATGGAGATCATCTACCTGCTGACTGGAGAGGTGAGGGATTCTGGGTTATGTCAGTATGGAGATCATTTACCTGCTGACTGGAGAGGTGAGGGATTCTGGGTAATGTCATTATGGAGATCATCTACCTGCTGACTGGAGAGGTGAGGGATTCTGGGTAATGTCATTATGGAGATCATCTACCTGCTGACTGGAGAGGTGAGGGATTCTGGGTAATGTCATTATGGAGATCATCTACCTGCTGACTGGAGAGGTGAGGGATTCTGGGTAATGTCATTATGGAGATCATCTACCTGCTGACTGGAGAGGTGAGGGATTCTGGGTAATGTCATTATGGAGATCATCTACCTGCTGACTGGAGAGGTGAGGGATTCTGGGTAATGTCATTATGGAGATCATCTACCTGCTGACTGGAGTGTTGAGGGATTCTGGGTAATGTCAGTATGGAGATCATCTACCTGCTGACTGGAGAGGTGAGGGATTCTGGGTAATGTAATTATGGAGATCATCTACCTGCTGACTGGAGAGGTGAGGGATTCTGGGTAATGTCAGTATGGAGATCATCTACCTGCTGACTGGAGAGGTGAAGGATTCTGGGTAATGTCATTATGGAGATCATCTACCTGCTGACTGGAGAGGTGAGGGATTCTGGGTAATGTAATTATGGAGATCATCTACCTGCTGACTGGAGAGGTGAGGGATTCTGGGTAATGTCATTATGGAGATCATCTACCTGCTGGCTGGAGAGGTGAGGGATTCTGGGTAATGTCATTATGGAGATCATCTACCTGCTGACTGGAGAGGTGAGGGATTCTGGGTAATGTCACCATGGAGATCATCTACCCGCTGGCTGGAGAGGTGAGGGATTCTGGGTAATGTCATTATGGAGATCATCTACCTGCTGGCTGGAGAGGTGAGGGATTCTGGGTAATGTCAGTCTGGAGATCATCTAACTGCTGACTGGAGAGGTGAGGGATTCTGGGTAATGTCAGTATGGAGATCATCTACCTGCTGACTGGAGAGGTGAGGGATTCTGGGTAATGTCACTATGGAGATCATCTACCTGCTGCCTGGAGAGGTGAGGGATTCTGGGTAATGTCACTATGGAGATCATCTACCTGCTGCCTGGAGAGGTGAGGGATTCTAAAGTTGCATTATTGTCATCTTAACATTATCTTTAAAAATACCAGGGAAATATTTTAGGTGTAGATAAAGCTAAGGGATGTATTTGTGTGTGTACATATATAAAGTGCCAGAGAATATAGGGAGTATTAGTGCAATGAAGAGGCACTGATTAATAGAGATATTATAGCTTTATCATATGTCACCCACATTGTGTTTATCCCAAGCTTATTGTCCAGTTCTTAATGTTTGTTTTCTCGCCTTGTATTCCACTTTGCCGAATTTAAGAGCTGCATTTCTTTCTAAGGGTAACATATTATTGTTGGGATACTGTAACGGACCGTTTTGCACAAAAGGGGAAAAAACCGCTTAGACGATAATCCCCTTTCAGAGACAGGCACAGCTACTGTAGAATCACCAAAACTCACGAACTGAATACAAGTGAATGCTCCAAACTCCCGAACGGCATACAAGTGAATGCTCCAAACACTCGAACTGCATACAAGGGAATGGTCCAAACACTCGAACTGCATACAAGTGAATGCTCCAAACTCTCGAACTGCATACAAGTGAATGCTCCAAACTCCCGAACTGCATACAAGTGAATGCTCCAAACTCCCGAACGGCATACAAGGGAATAAGGTAGCACTCCAAATACACGAACAGGAACCATACGAATTGCTGCTACCAGACGAACAGGAAAAGCTCCCAAGCGGCTTACACTCCTGGCAATCAGTCCTTAGCAGCATACAGTAAATCCCCCAAAGACGAGACAGAGCTCCGTGTTGAGGGTCAAGCAGTGGTCTGTTTAATGAGGGCTACCTGCCCAGCTTTTATGCAGGTCTCCCACCTGGTGCACACTCCCCTAGGGGACCAAATGGGAGACTGTGACAAGGGACAGACATGTACCAATTACAGACATACAGAAGTAAAACATCCCCACAATGCATCCTGGCTTCCTCCCTCTGCCTTGGAGAAGTAATTCAATTATCTCCAAGGACAAAGGCAAAACTCCATTACACACGTGGGGACACAAAGACAGACTATCACTTTAAAATACATAATGTAACATTTATCACATAAAACACAGACATGTAACATATCCCCAGATAGCTCAGGTCTGAGTGCACATTATTAGGTGAATGGCACTCAGACCACACGAATACAGTTTTAATTGCCAATGGAGCCAAAGTCTTTAATTCCACGAATAGGCTCCATGGCATAGCTATCTGGGTTAAAACATTCCTCCAACAGAAAATACCGAATTTACAGGCATTCGTTAAATCTGTGCGAATTAAAACCAGGGGTTGGAGGTTCAGCGGTGCCTGCACGTAAAAGTGTCCGGGTTTGGTGCATGAAAGCCGGGCAGAAAAGCGCTGGCTGCCCCTGGGAGCTCCAGAACACCGCCATCGTGTGGCGGCTAAGTGTAACCGCGACCACCCAGTAACAATCAATTAAGCTGCGGTTAACCGCAGCTACTGGGTGGTCAATTGCCGGCACACGCTCGTTAAGCCGCGGTTAACCGCGGCTTCAAGGAGGTAAATGGAGGGCGCACTCCAGCTTCTGGGTGGCCAATTAAGGTCGCCGGCCGGCTTCCCACGGCTCTGGGGAGGCTGAAAAGAGACTGTTTGTTTGGTAGATGGAATCTACCGAACGGCTGTGCAGAAAGGGGGAAATAAATCCTTCTGCACAGTAAAATTAACCCTTTAGCTGCCGGTCCATAATCCAAAGGCAGCAGGCGGGCAACCAGGCTCCTCCAATGCAATGTGGCGAGATTGGTCTCGTCACATCTCTCCCCTTTTCCAAACAGACTAACAGGGTATCTGACCTCCTGCCGGTCAGTGCCCTTGTTAGTCCAGCAGCCCACCCACAACAAATAATCCACAGCACAGCCCACCCACAACAAATGGTTACTACACCTGGGTAGAGAAGAAGCTTGTCCATGTCCAGGTGCCTCACCACGGCTGTGCTGGGTACGGGTACGCTGACTTGGTGGGTTGCTGCGTGGGCAGAGACCAGCGGCACTCTGCCCTGTTGCCAGCGCTACTGGGAGGGTAGCCCGGTGGAAGCCTGGTTGTTGGAGGGGGAGACCGACTGTCTCCCCTTTAAATACACCGCTCTGCTGCTGCTGCTGGAGACTGACTGTCTCCCCTTTAGATGCACAGTCCTGCTGCTGGAGACCGACCGTCTCCCCCTTAGCTGGAGACCGACCGTCTCCCCTTTGGTTACCCATCTCTGCTGCTGGAGGGGGAGACCGATTGTCTCCCCTTTGGCTAAACAGCCCTGTCGCTGGGGGGCAGGACCGACCGTCCCTACCCCCTGTGCTGGCAGTGTAGAGACTACGGTCCCATCTGCATGGTTGTGGGGCTTACTGTCTCCCCTTTGTACATTAAGCTGCCGCTGGGGAGAGGGGGTAACAAGCTCCTCTCCCATACATACTTCCAGCTGTGGGGGAGGGAGACCGACTGTCTGCTCCCAATACAGAGTCCTGCTGCTGGGGAAAGGAGACTGGGCTCTCTATTCCCGGTAGGACACTCTGCCGCTGGGGAATGGAGACGGGGCTCCCAATTCCCAATGATCTGTGCTGCCGCTGGGGAATGGAGACTGGGCTCCCAATTCCCAAGCATCATACTGCCGCTGGGGAATGGAGACTGGGCTCCCAATTCCCCAAAAATCACACTGCCGCTGGGGAGGGAGGACACTGCTCTCCTCTCCCTGGACTTCACACTGCCTTCCCGGCATATCACTCTGCTGCTGGGGGGCAGGAACAACTACCTCTGCCCCCTGTAACTCAGCCTGCCGCTGGGGAGGGAGGACGCTGCTCTCCTCTCCCTGGACTTCACACTGCCTTCCCGGCATATCACTCTGCTGCTGGGGGGCAGGAACAACTACCTCTGCCCCTGTAACTCAGCCTGCCGCTGCGGAGGGAGGACGCTGCTCTCCTCTCCCTGCACTTTACACTGCCTTCCCGGCATATCACTCTGCTGCTGGAGGGCAGGAACAACTACCTCTGCCCCCTGTAACTCAGCCTGCCGCTGGGGAGGGAGGATACTGCTCTCCCTCTCCCCTGCACTTTGAAGCACTGCCGCTGGGGAATGGAGACTGGGCTCCCCACTCCCAGTAAATCACGCTGGGGAATGGAGACTGGGCTCCCCACCTCTGCAGGACCGGGTGGAGAGACCGGGTCCCATCTCTACCGCCACCTGGGGTTCTTCCTGTGTAAAACTGTGTACCATCTCGGCCCCTCTGGAATGGGTCTGGCTCTGGGTCTGTCATGCTGCTCTCCCGCTGAGCCTTCTCACTGTATTGGAACAGCTGCTGGTAGCCCTGTTCTAGCTCCATCTCCCGGGTTACCAGGTGGACCAGGTCTTGCTCAATTTCGTGAGTGTCGTCCCAGTCATACCTGCTCTCCCTCCACTCCAAGAGATCACTGAACCGGGCTTGTGTAGGGCTCCTAAATTCGAGCTCTGAAAATGACTCCCATAACAAGCCAGGACCATCAAACTCCTCTCCCTCTGGCTTGTCATGCTCGGCTGTCCAGGGTAGGTACTGTGCCCCATACCACCAGAGCGCCTGGTAGGAATCTTCCAGCCAAATCTCCTGCCATACCCGGTGCTCCAATTCCTTCACCCATTCATCCAGGGGCTGTTCTCCCAGGAAGGGCATCCGCAGGGCTACTCGCTTCTGCAACCGCTGGTCTTCCTTGGGGAGTCTCTTGCCCCGCTGGTACTTCACAATACCCAGTGCCTGGTACCAGATGCCTTTACGGACTGCATCTCGGTCATCCATGGCACCCTCATCATACTCCACTGCTGGTTCCATGCTGGTGCTGTCAGGGTCGCTGTACTGGGACATGCTGCCCTCAAATTGTAAAAATCCAAAGAAATGGTGTTCCTGTATGTCCTTCTGGCTGTAGGAACGATCCCGGCCAGCTAAGCCACCAATTGTAACGCAGACCGCTTTGCACACAAGGCAAAAACCGCTTAGGGCGAATGGCCCCTTTCCGTAGGAGATCCAGGCACAAAATACTTTTGCAGAACACCAAACTCACGAACTGGATACAAAATAGCACTCCAACTCCCAAACTGGAACCTCCCAAATAGCTGCTAGCAGATGAACAGGAAAAGCAGACAATCAGCTTACACTCCTGGCAATCAGTCTCTAACAGCATACAGTGAATCCCCACAAGAACGAGACAAGGCTCCGTGTTGAGGGTCAAGCAGTGGTCTGAGGTGCTGGCACACCCAGCCTGGTTTTTATTACAGTCTTGCAAATACAGGACCGCCCACAGGGAGGTATAAAACAACCAATCACATCACAGTTACATCCCACATATTCCCCTCCCCTTATCCTGAGAGGA